GGAGTGGCTGATGGGTTTGAACCACCAGCCTTCTGGTTAGCAGTCAAGTGCCTTAGGCACTATGCTACCAGAGTTCCTTCAAGGAAAATATTATGAACAACAATCCACCAATAAATTTGAAAACCTAAGTGAAATAGATATATTTCCAGAAAAACATAAATGCAAAAATTATCACAAGATGAGTAGATCTTGAATATACTATTAACCACTAAAGCAGTAAAAATAATAAATTATTGCCCTAAAAAAAGCTTCAGAACAAGATGATTTCAATAGGTAAGGTCTATAAACTTCATGGATCAGATAATTCCTATGTTTAAAAGTTGTTTCAGAAAATAGGGAGATAGGAAAAGGTGCTCAAATCATTTTATGGTTTATTATAAAATCTTTATCTCAAAACTGGATATAAAATTGTACAAGAACAAAAATTGTAGATAGATAGACTGGCCACCTTGAAGGTCCCTGGGTGGTGCAAATGGTTAAAAGTGCTTGGCTGCTAACCAAAACATTGGAGGTTCAAGTCCAACCAGAGACACCTCCGAAGAAAGGCCTGGCAACCTGCTTCCAGAAAAACTCTATGGAGCATAGTTCTACTCTGACACACTTGGGGTCACCATGAATTGACATCATTTCGGTGGCAACTGGTCTTTTTTATTGGTTTGTTTTTTTATTACCTAAATCAGTTTGAAAAAGAAAAGCAAAAAGATAATAAAAAACCGAGTAGTACTGGACAGGCACAGGCAAACAAACTAACAGAACTAACTGAGCAACAAGTCCAGAAACACACCATAGTGCATATTAGAAGAATGGTTTTTATATTTTTCTAGAAATATATCTATTTCACTTAGGTTTTCAAGTTTATTGGTGTATTGGTGTTCATAAATTTTCTTTCTTTTATAATTTTGCTTTATTTTTGTTGTAATATAGAATAATTTCTACATGAACTATTCATGAAATTTTATAATTTATGATCTATTATATTTGTAGTTACTTCTCCCTTTCTCATTCTGTATTTCTCTTCACAAGTCAAGAGGGGAAAAGATGGATTTTTTTTTGGCGAGGGTGAAATACATGATTTTGGAAAATTGCCTTAGTGAAAATGTAGGGAGAAATAAAATTATATCTCTAATTAAAAACTACCAGGGAAATTATAGATGTAAATATGAAAGGTGAAATATAAAGCCAATAGATGAAAATGTAGAATAACTAAGAATTTGGAGATTTCTGCCACAAGATCCAAAATGGACCAATTGTAATAGAAAAATAGATTCATTTGTCTGCATCAAAATGAGAAAGCATTGAGTATGAGTCATTGCTCCCTAAGTTGGATCTGACTCATAGAGACCCCTCCTTGGGTTTCCAAGGCAGTATCACTATGGAAGTAGATTGCCCAACCTTCCTTCCAAGGAGTGGCTGGTGGGTTAGAACCGTCAGCCCTCTGGTTAGCAGTCAAATAACTTAGGCACTATGCAACCCTAAGTATCAGTCTCCATGATTTCACTCCTGACTTCACATTTAGTCAGGGGCTACCACAAACAACATGGTATGGCTGTAGCCATCAGCTCACTGGGGAGAGATGACGTGTGCTGAGATTCAGACTGAGGGAGGGCCTCCAGGATGCTCAAACAGAATAGGTTGCGTGATGGTCTGAAATGCTGCTCTCTTCAGTCTTCAGACTAGCTTTACGAGGAACCTCTTAGTCAGGAGCCTAAAATACAGATGTAGGTGGCCAAGAGAGACTGTGAAAACTTAATCAGCATGGACCTTGAGCAATCCTCTGGGGCCCATACTTTCAGAGTGAGTGTGGGTCCTTCTAATGCCAGGAGTGGCAGATCACTGATACCTCCCAATAAACCCTTGACTGAACTCCAGAAATATGCCAGGAACTTTTAAAAAATAAATTGGAGGGCCTTGCCCTGACAGACTGATTCAATAGGTGTGGGGAGGCTCAGGAGTCTCCATCTGAGCAGCTCCCAAGTGTGGCTTTGGTTGTAGCCAGAGTCCAACGTGTCAGAACTCAGCTCCAAGGGGTGCAGAGCCACCCTGGGGGCTGCACATAAGGTGTGTGGGTGGGAGATGCACATAAGGTGTGCCCAGGGGCAGGATGGGAAGTGCAGTGGTTGGGATAGAAGGAGAGTGAGCAGTACAGACAGCAGGCTCAGGCAGAAGAGGACCCAAGGTGCCACGAGGGCCCAGCTGTAACCAAAGTCTCTCCTCGTGGGTGCCCCCACCCCCGCCTGGGTACTACTGATCATGTATTAGAATGATTTGTTAATTGCCTGCCTTCTTCACCAACATGGGAGCTCCTGAAGGGCAAGACCCTTGTATTCACTCATTTCATAAATCTACTTGATGGCAGTGGATTTGGTTTTCTGGTTTACTATGCTAGGTGTAATCTCTAGCAGGGAACAAGGTCCAGGCAGCCCTCCGTTCTAGATCTTCTAGTCTAGAAGGGAGGCAGGCAATAAGAGCAAGCAGCTCTAACAAACCCAAACCCACTGCCATCAAGTCGATTCTGATTCATAGCAACCCTTTAGGACAGAGTAAAACTGCCCATAGGGTTTCTAAGGCTGTAAATCTTTAGGGAAGCAGACTGCCTCGTCTTTCTCCCATGGAGTGGCTGGTGGGTTCAAATTGCCAACCTTTTGGTTAACAGCTGAATAATGCTTTAACCACTATGCCACTAGAGCTCCTGAAGCAACTCTAATGAGGTACTCACTCATTGCTGTGGGGTAGGATCTGACTCATAGCGACCCCTCCTTGGGTTTCCAAGGCATTATCACTACGGAAGTAGATTGCCTAACCTTCCTTCCAAGGAGGGGCTGGTGCATTTGAACCACCAGCCTTCTGGTTAACAGTCAAATGCCTTAGGGACTATGCCACCAGAGCTCCTTCTAATGAGGCAGGTATATTAAATGCTACAGGGAACCAGTAGACACTTAATAGGGATACTTATCCCTGACTTGGGAAAACTGGGATCTGGAAAACCTTCATGGAAAAACTGAAGTCTAAGACAGTGACGGATGAGGCACAAGGCAGGAGTAGGGAAAACACAGGAAATGGTATGTGCCAGCCTTCTGGGAACAAGGTGGTTGGACTGAAAAATATGAGGGTTTGGGGGAGGTGGGAAGGCAGTAAAAGTTGGGGGGTGGGTAGGTGGGAGATAAGGCCCAAGGTAATGTGGGTCGCCTCTCTAGCCTTGTGTGTAGGACTTTTTACTTTAGTCAGAGGCAGTGGGCGGGGGCGGGGGGGTGAGGGAAGAAAAGAGTGTCCCCTTCCACTTGCCTAGTCTGAGGTGGGACCTGACCCAGGGCAAGTGGCAGGGAATGTGTGGGAAATAGGCCGCCCCTCTCCAGCTGTTCTGATGCACTGATCCTAGCTCTTGGTCTCGCCTCTCTCCAATCCCCTTCCCCTATCATTCTCTTCTGTTCCTGTGGGCTGGGCAGCTACTCCTCCTAGAGTCAGAGAGTTTTCCTTCAGCACTTGGGAATATTACATATTTCCACAGACTCTGGAGTAGAGAGTTAGAGCTGGAGAAACTGAGACTGGGACAATGGCATGATGTTCCAGGAATCATAGAAGCACTGGACACTTCTGATCTCTCAAGCATTTTAAAAACTGTCCTCAAAACAAATTGCTCTCTCCCTTCTTGGGAATGGTTCTCCTTCCTGGAAAGTGGTCTGGGCCAGGGTCTGCATTCTAGCCTTCCGAGCATCCCTGGAGCTAACCCAGGGCCTGGCACTCTGTGGGTGTATAGTAGGTGTTATGGACCATATGGACACATCCACCCTGTCCCTGGACAGTGAGCTTTCTGAGTCCCAGATTGGAAGGGCAGCTTCTTCCCCAAGGTTGGGTGGTCCCAGGCCCACCATGAATCTGGTCCTGAACTGGCTTTGTGAATGGCAGTAATGATGACCATGGCCACCATTTACTGATCCATGTTTTTACCAGGTACCCTGTACACACATACTCCTGCCACTCTGTCCCAGAAACCTTTGAGCCACCAGGAGTCCACTAAAACAAACAAACAAACAAAAAAACCCCTACAACTTCAAATTTCTTTAAAAACTACACATATTTATTTCTGGAAAAGATTAGAAGAAAATGCATTAACTTGTTAATGGTTGTCATTACTGGGTGCCATTCTTTGATCTTTTTCTTTTTTTTTTTTTCCATTTGCTTGCCTGCCTCTTCTAAATTTCCTACAGATTCTGTGTATTACTGTGTCATTAAAATGTATAAAAACCAAAACCAAACTCACTGGCTTCCAGTCGGTTCCGATTCACAGCGACCCCTCCTCGGGTTTACGAGGGAGTATCCCTACTGGGCAATCTACTTCCGTAGTGATATTACCTCGGAAACCCAAGGAGGGGTCGCTATGAGTCGGTACAACTCGAGGGTACATAACAACAACAACAAAATCTCTACGGAAGTAGATTGCCCAATCTTCCTTTCCAAGAGTGGCTGATGGGTTTGAACCTCTAGCCTTCTGGTTAGCAGTCAAATGCCTGCCTTAGGCACTACGGCCAAGGCCACGAATAAAGGGGATGGGGTTTGCAGGAGCAAACCTTCTCCCTGGGGGAGGGGGGTTATTTTAAAGGATTGAGTGCTTCTGCAGAGATGGAGGGGTTTATTTGCATATGCAATGGAGGGGAAGAAGGGGGCAAAAAGAAGGAGGGCGGCTAGAATCCTCACTTATTCTCAAACGTGCCTACATGAGCCTCGTCCAGCACCCCTACCTCTAGCTTGCCTCCACCACGGTGTTGGTGCCTGTGAGTCCTCTGTTTGCCGCCTGCCCCACCGGCCTGTGCGCTCCTTGAGGGCGGCAGGGCCTCTCTGACTCGCGGGGCCGGCGCGGAGCGGGCGTTCACAACGCGGAGGCGCGTGTGCCCAGGGGGCCTGCACCTCTTGGCAGTCCTGCCAGGCTCGCTTGGCTGCTCTGCCTTCGTCAGGTCCCGTGGCGCGTGCAGGTCTAACTTGCCCTCGGGGCTTCTGTTCTCTAGATCCACTTCCCGGATGTGGAGCGAGTCGAGTGGGCGAACAAGGTAAGGCTACCCACCCGCCTGGGGCGCTATCATCACTCCAGGCCTCGCTGGGCTCGGTGCCGCCAGCCGGTGGGTTCCGCGGGCTGTGTCATCCGCAGCAGCCTTGATTGGGCCGGGCAGCGCGTAGGGTCAGGCAGTTCCCAGGCCCCAAGAGAGGCTGAGATGACCCTTTGCCGCTGGGGTGGTGCCCTTTCTCCCTGACCACCTTCTCTCTCAGGTTCTTCTCTTTCACCAGTGAGCGGCTTTCTTTTCTTTAAAATGTGTGTGTGTGTGTGTGTGTGTGTAAAGACTTACATGTGGCCACAGCAGAGAAATTAGGAAATATAGAGAAGTATAGCGAACAAATACAATCTGTTACTGACTGGCCCACCAGGTCGATATTGGTGCTTTCGTACAGGGAGGAAGGCATTAGATAACAGCTGCTGGAGTCTTGCCTGGTTCCCAGCCCAATCCGCCAGCACTGGCTGCGAGACCTTGGGCAGGTTGCCTAAGGTCTCTGAACTGTTTCCTCATGTGTAATGTGGAAATAATTTTAGTGTCTTCCTCGTGGGATTGCTGTGAGAATTAATGAGGTCGTTACTGCACAACGATGCCTGGCACATCCTGAGCACTTGGATATTCGCTGTTGTCATTGGTGTTAGATCACTGGGGAACTCCCAGGGACTCTGCTGCCTTAGGTCTCAGGAGGGCGGAGCGCTTTGACTCCCAGTTGCGCCCTCCGCGGAGCAGGCATCGGAACGCAACAGATTAGGAAACAGCCCTGTCCCTGCCTGATCTGTCAAAACGCTCCCTAAAGGGGAAGCCTCCTCTGCTGCTCCCACTTCAAGTCTGACTAAGAGCTTTTTCTAATACAAACCTTTCCTCTGTTTGGGGAAGAGGCTTAGCTCATAGCAGGAATGACTTAGGTTAAGTTAAAGAAGCGACTTCCTGATGAGTGTTGATCAAAGGTTGGTATTTTCAAGTTACTAGAAATGTCAGTGGATGAAAAACTCTGTTACCTGCCTCATGGTAGAATTTGGAGGAAGCGGGTGACTGTTTTTAAGAGAATTTCTGAGGATTAATACCAAGTCCAAGGCCTCTGGGGCAAACCTTGTGCCATGCCCACAAAGTCAAGTCTGCGGTATGTGCGCCAACTAGTTCGTGATTTCATGCACGTGGTACATTTTTCACCAACACACAGATGCCCAGGACCTGAATGGGGAGATAGCTATGGAAACAAACCAGCTGTCAGGACATTAAAGTCCTAGGATCAGCTTTACACACAGGAGGCACACAGTGAAGGATAAACTAGCAAGACAGAGCATGGGACCAGGTCTTAGAAAGTAGAATCTTAAGGACTGGGGTTTGGAGAAGGCCTTGAAAGAGGTGATCCATTTTCCAGATGGGAACAATGAAGCCCCAAAGTCTCACACCTTTAAGCTCCTCTGATTACAGGTTTGGAATGGAGGGAGAGTAGGAAGTGGGTGTGTGTTTAAACCCAAGTTCACAGGAAAGGGGAGAAGCCTTTGCTCCAAACAGCACCTATTGGTCAACTAGCCCTCTTTCCATACTCCCCTCATGACTGCCACTGTTACTTGCCACTAGGCTTCAGGTCTCTGCCACCCTTTCTCCCCAGGCCCAGGCTTGGCTCTCAGACCAGCACCATGACGTGTTCTGCTACAGAACTCAGTCTAAGGCCATCTTTTCCTAATTGCTACAGAAAAATTATACCACAACAAGCAATTTAAGTTTCTATTCTGTGATTGTTCTAGTTACCTAGTATCGCTTTGACAAAAATATACCACAAATGGGATGGTCTTTGACAAACAAGAATTTATTGTCTTACAGTTTGGGAGGCTAAAAGTCCAAGTTCAAAGTGCCAGGCTCTAGGGGATGTGTGAAAGCCCCTTAACTTTGGGCTTCAGCTCTGCCTCTTGCTCTCAACCCACTGAAGCTAGGGGCATCTCTTTACTCAGACAGCTACTGGCTGCTGAGGCTAACAAGCCCAGGGTCGACAAATACAGTGGCACAGTCCTGATGTTACCAAACCACATGGCAGGCCATTAATTTAAATCCATTTTAAGTCCCAAGGTTGGCAGAGCATGGCAGGCTGCTGAACAATGACACGGCTACATTCAGGGTCCAAGCATGCCATATGCTGGAGACCATTCCATTCCCGAAGCTGTGTCTTATGTACAGGAAGCAGACCACATACCCAAAAGCAGCTACTCAGCTGCCCCAATACATTGCACCATGGAGCTGATTACCATTCTCATCATGGGGAATAACTACATCCAGCTGCCCAGCCACTCAACCAGACCTAGCCAAGTTGACACATAAGCTTAACTACCACAGTGAAGTTTCCCTTAAACCTCTGGCACTAGACTGTAGAATGGGATCATTTATGTTTTGGCACAGAATTAAAAGGCTTCATAATAGGAAATTTACTGAATGAGTATTTCATGGTGTTCTGCAAAGCGGCAGCAAAGCCCCAAATCCTGCTGCCTACACAAGAGTGGGAACCACTGCTGTGGTTATCAGATGTTAGATGGACAGATGGATGGATAGGTGGGTAGACGGGTGGGCAAGCAGGCTGCCGGCATAGGGACAGAGGGGTCCCCACCCCTCCGGGGCCAGGTTGCAGATGATCAGGACCTAGTCTTTGCAGCCATGGGTCTGGCTGAGGGCACGAGTCTGACTACCAAGAGCCTCTCCCTGTCCTCCCAGATCATCTCCCAGATCTGGCCCTACCTAAGCATGATCATGGAAAACAAATTCCGGGAGAAACTCGAGCCCAAGATCCGGGAGAAGAGCACCCGCCTGAGGACCTTTACCTTCACCAAGCTCAACTTTGGACAGAAGGTCAGTTCTGCCTTTGGGAGGTCAGCCTGGCTGGGTTGTGCAGTCCCTTCTGTCCCTCTCCCATCTCCTAACCGTCCCCCACCCTTGCCACAGGTCAGTCACCTGACTGCAAAGTTCCCACAGGTTAGGACAGGAACTACCCTCACCTGCATTTCCCAGCCTCCTCAGCCTCAGTACAGACCCCCTCAGTCCCAGCACCACCATCTCCCCAGGTTCTAAGCCTAGCTCAGAGAGAACAGCAAAGGAAAAATGGGAAATCATTCCGCTTTTCTTAAGCAAAAATTTGAAAACATGGCCATATGGTGGATGCCAGACAGACATTTGCTCACCTGAGACATCAGCTGGGGAGAACACACCTTCGTGGATGTAGATAGTGCCACAGAGGAGTTTATAATTCTCTGTTAACTGATCGGCTCAGGTAATTAGTGTAACAGTTCCACACTAGTTCTGTGGGGATCCACCAGTGTCCCAGGATAAAATGGTCCAGGCCAGAGAAGTTTGTGTCTCACATCCCTAAGGTCATGCATGCTCTTTATTCTAGACTGAGCTTCCTATCCCCCTCTGTCCCCACTCCTGCCGCCCCACAGTGCTGCTTGGTAAATTGGTATGGGTCTCATTTTGATCATTCAAAAATGCATCTCCAGACGGAGAACTGCTGTGATGTCCCCCTAAACCCACTGCTGTCAAGTCAATTCTGACTCACAGCAACCCTACAGGACAGAAAAGAACAGCTCCACAGGGTTTCCAAGGCTGTCTTCTTCAGAGGCAGACTGCCACCTCTTTCGTCTTTGGAGTGGCTAGTGGGTTTGAACCACTGACCTTTTGGTTGACAGATGAGTACTTAACCACTGTGCCACCAGGGCCCCTTGCTGTGGTGTCCATCACTTAGTAAGTCAAAAGCATTGTTCTCTGGTCAGCTCTGGAAGAAGCAGGTGTCAGAGTGCAGGCCAGCCTGCCGAGAGCTACTGTCTGGCACCAGGGGTGGGTGCCCATCTTTGCCTGACTAGCACCCTGAGTGGGAGGGGGGTGGATTGGGCATGCCAGCATCTGTTATTTTATTTATTCATTCCTTGATTCATTCATTCATAGCTTCCTGAGCACATGCTGTGAGCTAGGCATCATACACAGACAGATGGGTGTGGCAGTGTCCTGCCTTTGGGAAGGTCTCTGTCTTGTTGTGAGAAGCAGACACGTAAGCTGGTAATGACAACATGGCAGCGCATGCACAGTGGTAGAGGAATGCACGTTCGGAAGTGGAGAGGGGTAGGGGCTGTGGTAGTCAGGGAAGACTTCCTGGAGGGAGTAATGTCTGAGTTGATGTTCGAAGAATTCATCAGGCTAAGAGCCAGGAAGGGAGGGCATCACAGGAAGCTTGCAGGTGTTTAGAGCAGAGCCTGCTCTGCCAGGCCCCCGTGGGATGGGGCCCTGTTGGCAGGCAGATTACTGGCAGGCAGCAGAAGCAGGATCAAAAGTGGCTGATCCTAAGGGATGCTATTACAAGGTCAGGAAAACCTGCAGGGAGAGCTGGTCACATGCCCCCAGCCCTGCAGGAGAAATACCAGATTCTTGGTCCTGGCATTCAAAGTCCTTCAAGTCCTGACCCTACCACCATCTCCTCAGCTCTCTCATCCCCTACTGTGCCAGTCCTTTCCACGATGGGGTTACAGAGAGCTCCTCATGTGACCTCCTGGGCTTGGCCAGGCCTGAAGCTCTCACCTACACTCCCATGTCTGTGCCCAACTCTGATCTGTGCTGTGGTGACCTTGGGCCAATGACTTAGTCTCTCTGAGCTCTAGTTTCCTCGTCTGTGAAATGAAAGGATACACTTCTGAAGATTGTTGTGAGGTGTGTGCTAGGCCTGGCTTCAGGGCTGCTCTGTGTGGTTGTATGACGTGTGCCCAGCATAGGGCACTGGGTCCAGTGTAGGCCAGATTCTAGGCTAGCACTTGTCTCCTAACCCTGAGCCCTGTCTGGCACAGAGCAGGTGCTTGGACAGTGGTTATTCCTCTTTTTTTTTTTTTGGTAGAGGCCTCCCAGTGGGCAGCGCCATTCCCCCCACCCCACCCGCCAGGACAGGCCTCTGCAGACAAGAGTCTTGAGTGTGGCTGAGCTTTCATTAGCGCTGGGCAAACCCATTCCCCTCCCCCTAGGAGCAGCTGCTGGTTGCTAGGAGATTAGGTGTCCCTGTCTCCTCCCCAGGCTTCCACAGACTTTCCTGGGCCTGTAAGAGCAAAGCCTTGGAGGCCAGGGCAGAGCCTGGTATTGTAGGGCCTGAAGCTTGTACAATCCTGGGGACCCTCTTAAAAAGAATATAAAATTACAAATACAAAATAAGGGCAAAAGTAGATGTTTGTTTAGAATGAGAAGATAAATCACTACATGCTGTTGTTGTTATTATGTGCTGTCGAGTTGGACCCGACTCATAGCAGCCCCTCTTTGGGTTTCCGAGGCGGTATCACTACGGTAGTAGATTGCCCAACCTGCCTTCCGAGGAGGGGCTGGTGAGTTTGAACTACCTGCCTTCTGGTTAGCAGTCAAGTGCCTTAGGCACTAGGCTACCAGAGCTGCACATTTTAAAAAGCTGACATACCATAAACTCTGGGAAAATGACATAATATCTTTCATTAACTGCTCTGCATGTCTTTATCATACTTTTTCTTCTACATTTTTGGCCCTATACTCTTTGCTAACCTCTTCACACAACAGTGCATTTGGAAAGAAGAGAAATAGAAATTAATCTTTCCTCTAGTGTGATTAGCAACCTTGGAAGGAAGGTTGGGCAATCTATTTCCATAGTGACACTGCCTCGGAAACCCAAGGAGGGGTCGCTATGAGTCTGGTCTGACTCGACAGCAGTGCATTTGGTTTTTGGTTTGTCTAGCGTGATTGATTAGATTTTTTTCTTCAACATTTTATTACGAAAAATTTCAAACATGCAGAAGAGTTGAAAGAACTGTACCGTGACACCACATACCCACAATGTGGAATGGACTGCTGTTAACCTTTCACTGTATTTACTTTATTGCACATCCATGCACTCATCTCTCTAGCCATCTTCTCCTTTTATTTTTTTTGGATGCATTTCAGAGTACTTTGTGGACATCAGTGGACTTTACCCCTGACCACTTCAGTGTGCATATTATCAACATCAGTTCAAATGAAATCTGTTTTTTATTATTGATAAATAACAAGCAGACTTCACTCCAATGCCACCTGGCAGGAGAGGAAGGGCAGGGTCTGGGCAGAGAGGGGAAGATGATAACAGGAAAAATTACCTATGAGCTCAGCCCTTGGCTTCGGAGGCTGGGAAGCCCGGCCTGGGGTGCAGACTCTTTACTTTCTAAGGTCTACTCCCTCTGCCAAAGATCCTACGCGCTGCCTTCGCCCTTGTGGGGATAACACCTAGTCATTCGCTAGCACTCAGCTAAAATGCCACTTCCAAAGCCTCTCTGACTCCCAGGCTGGGTTGGGGGTACTCCTGGAGTCCTTAGGCGGCCCTCACTGTAGCCACCCTCCTGATTTCCTTGCCTCTACCAGTCTGGAAGCCCATGAGGCAGGCTCATGCCCACCTTGTTCCCTGCTGTCTCCCCAGCCCAGTGTCTGGCACAGGGTAGGTGCTTAGTAAGTGTGGAGGCAGGAAGGGAGGGGAAGGAGAGTACACATTCTAGGGAGAGATGCCTCATGGATGTCAGGGCCTAAGGGCAGGGGCTGCAGGATAGGTTTCTGTATTTGTACCTCATGCTGGGGGTGAGGCAGCGGCCATGGTGCTGTGTTTGATGAAGCTCAGCGCTGGGTGGGGTGCTGCCAGCATCCCCTGCTGCAAAAGCCCTGCTGACCCCACCCTCTGGCATCTCTTCCAGTGTCCTCGGGTCAATGGTGTCAAGGCCCACACTAACAAGTATAATCGAAGACAGGTGGTTCTGGACCTGCAGATATGGTGAGCTCTCTTGCTGTGGGGGCTCTCTGGGAACAGCCATATACACACTCTGATTTGTGATGTGAAAGCCCCTCACAGTGACTTCTCCCCACCCTACTTCCAGGGATGGGGGTACAAGGTCCTTGCTTGAGGGGAGAAGAGTGCCAGGAGAATGGATGGTGGAAGGACTGGTCCCAGGGAAGCCACTGCTGTCTGACCTCTAGGCCAGAGCTGGCTTCTGGCATCAGACTAGACCCCAGGGCACCCTCTGGGTCCCAAGGCCCAGACAGCAGAGCTTTCTTGGGGACTGGAGCCAGGCCACCTGGAGGGTCAGATCAACTGCCTGGAGAGGGCATGTGGCTGGGGGAGCAGGTGTGGCCAGGCCCCGGGCACTCTGGGCACAACTGAGAGGGGCCAGCAGGAGAATTGGCTGTGGGCACCTTGGGAGAACTAGAGGCTACAAAGACACAAGAGGGACTTCTCAGTGGGTTGGGTAAGGGCACCTCTCTCACATGAGGTTAGTAATAGGTTTGACGTCTTCTCAGAGAAAGCGAGATTTGACTTGTGCTTTAACGGACAAAAGGTCACCTCCTGAGGTTCCAGAACATGGCTGTTCCTTTCCAGTGCCTCACTTTCCCTGTCCTTAGCCCTTAGAGATTGGCATTCAGGGCATGCTGAGAAGACAGGAGCCAGCTCTGGCCACCATTCCCATTGGGGGGCTGGTCTCCAGTGTGTTAGAGTGGTGAGTGGACTATTGGGACACTGCTGCCCCTGAAGCCTGCCACAAGATCCATGTACAAAGAGTTGGGGCACATTGAATGTGTCTGCTCCTCCCCACCCCAAGCCTCCCAGTCAGCTCAGGTGGCTTGTGAGGACTCCCCCTGCCCCCTATGCCTGTCCTTTCAGGAGCACTTGGCAGTTGTGTGGCTCATGGCATCCACCTCCTCTGCCTGTGTCCTGTGGATATTTGATGGCCATCCTCTTCTCAGGCTTCTGACACACCTGGAAGAGCCACTAGCCGGCCTCAGACTGCCATCCTTGCAGCCTGAAAGCCTGAGACCTTGTTACCTTCCTTGACTCCCACCTCCCCCAGCAACAGCCTGGGGCTTTTCCACAGTAATCACTGGTTTCAGCAGCCAGGGCTCTTCTGTGTTCTTTCAGAGGAGACCTGGGCAGAGACGGGGCACAGTGCAGCATGGGGTGGGGCTAGGGGGCAGTATGCTCACCAAGAGCCTGTCCTTCTCAGGGGCTCTGTGGAGTATGAGGTGGGGTCATAGAGATGGAGATGTACATGAGATGGCTTCTGAGTACAGGGACGTGGGGGCTGCTTCCTGGGACCTGGCTTGGCCAGGGTCTGTGCAGGATGAGGTCATGGGCCGAGTGATGCAGAGCTTGGCCTATGATTCTGGGCAAGTTTTCAACCTCTCTGAGCAGTTGGACTTACCTTCTTCCTTCCTCGCTCCTTCTAGCTACATCGGGGACTGTGAGATCAGTGTGGAGCTGCAGAAGATACAGGCTGGTGTAAAAGGGATCCAGGTGGGTGGGCTGGTGTGCCTGCCCTGGTCCAGCCTGTGAGATGTGGGCAGGAGAGGGAGAAGTGGGCTCACGCTGGAGCAGCTACTGAGCAGGGAGACTGGCTGAGGTAGCAATGCCAGGAAGCGGTTGCCCTGGGCTTCTGGACCTGGTTCTCTCTTCCACAGCTCCACAGCCTGCTTGGGTTTATAAGGCCCTCTGGGGGAGAGTTTGGCTGCCAGGGGAAGTGAGAGTTCTGTTTACAGAGTGGTGCAGAGCCTTTATTTTGAAACCGAGGTGGACTGAGGAGGTGGAAATGTCTCGTGCCAGGAGTAAAGGAGCTGGGTTGAAGCTGGAAATTACTCCTGGTCTCCTGCTGCCTGGGCTGCCGGATGCTGGGGCAAGGTGGCAGGCCTGCTCAGGCGTGGCATCCCTGTGGGAGTCAGGGGGGAGCTCAGGGCCCCTTGTTAGCCCGCAAAGTAGTGGCAGCTGTGCCCAAGCCTCTGCACCCCAAGTGTGATCTTGGCTGTGGCAACGGTAGCCTGGGTGGATGGATGGTCCTGTCCTTTAGAGGGGGATGCAGCCATGAGATGAGGCAGCAGCAGGCTGAACGCAAGCACGAAAGAAGAGGAGCTAGGGTCCCTCATGGCCTTCCGTGCCCATCCAGCTGCAGGGCACACTGCGGATCATCCTGGAGCCCCTCCTGGTGGACAAGCCCTTCATAGGAGCTGTGACAGTGTTCTTCCTACAGAAGCCGGTGAGTCCAGGGGCTGGAGCACGGCCCACCCTGTGACTGAGCACTTTCCACTGGCCCAGGCACTGGGTTTGAGCATAAGAATGGACATTGTCTAAGTCCTACCTAGTCCTAGGCACATAAGGATTATCTCACTTAATCCTTATCTTGAGGAGCTAGACTCTGCTCTCTGCAAGATAGGGAAACAGCTCAGAGAAGTGGCTCACCAAAATCACTGAAGTGATGTGAAGTTGAGCAGAGACTGAAACTCAGATGTCTCCAAGCCCAGGATGGCTTGTGGCCATGTGGACTAGCCCACTCCTGTGGAGGTTGTGGCAGGAAGCAGCAGGCCCCACAGCCTTTGTCCTATCCTCCTTGGAGGCCTGAGAGGACAAGGAGGTGCTCTTGCCTGTCTGACACTCCTACTGAGGATGTCCCCCAACTAGGCTGGGTTCTCCATTCAGGTGGGGGTGAGGTGCTTGGCAGAGAGTTCTCAGCCTTGGGCTCCCAATGCCTTCCAGATTAACTGCCTCCCTCTGCCCCTGCAGCACCTGCAGATCAACTGGACAGGCCTGACCAACCTGCTGGATGCACCAGGAATCAAGTAAGTGCCTGGGAGTGCCAAGTGGATGTGGGGTCCTGGGGGCTATGCAGCTGCACAGTGGTCATGTCCTCCCATTCCACCCTTGCTATGTGAAGAGTGAGGGCAGCAGCAAGCCTTCACCCTCCAGAGGGAAAAGTGTATGAGTGAGGGGACAGTGGCATGAGGGGCTGAAAGTGTTGGGGGCAGGCACTGGGCCCTGCATGTGCATGAGCACCTGCATGCATGCACACACATGCACATGTGTGCACATGCTGAGTGACAAGTGCTTTGCTGAATGTTGTATTGAGGGACATGCAGGTCCCTGTCGTGCTACAGGGGGAGGTGGCTCTGATCAGATGAGACTGGATCTAGTGGCTGCCATGTGCACCAATGAGACACGAGCACAGGTGTTGGAACCAAAGCCAGCCAGATTAGTCTCCTGACACTGTCACTTAGCTGTGTGAGCTTGGATAAATTACTTTACCTCTCTGGGCTCTTCCTCAGTAGAGGGAATCCTGGTTTCCTCCTTTCCCCCTCACTCCACACACCTCCGCAATCAAAGTATGTGGTGAGAAACATGTGGCCTCCCATAGCCTTGGTCATAAGCACAGGGGTGTGTGTGTGTGTATGTGTGGGCAGCTGCCATAGGCCAGTGAGGGGGAGCTGGTCTGGGAGATCCCACCTTCCTGGGGCCCCTGGAGAAGAGCAGAGAAGGGCTGCAGCCCCATGTGAACACCTCTCCAGGAAGGAGTGGCAGCTGGGCCGGCAGCAGCCTGTGGGAGGGCCATTTGCTTCCCTCTCATGGGGGCCATCCACATTGATCTTGGCCCCTCTGGACACAGAGAATCCAGTCACACATTGTTCATTCAAAATAACATATATTGAATACCTACTGTGTGCCATCCTGTTCTAGGCACTGTCCCTGTCTCCTGTAGGGGAGAGAGGCAATAAAGAGCATACGAGGTTCTAACAGGGAATGGGAGAGCCATTTGCTGGGTACTAGCCGACTCGATGGCAAATAACAACAACAACAGTGTGTTTTAGAACTTTACACATAGCAACACGTTCCCGTAACAATCTTAGCAGGTGGGCATTATTATCCCCATTTTAGAGATGAGTAAGTAGCTAGTGAGTGGTAGAGCCAGGAGTCTCCCCCAGGTCATTGCCTTCAACTACCATGCTGTGCTGCCTGGAAGAACAAACAAGACTGGGCAGCAAGGGGGCGAGTATAGCAGGGAAGGACTGCTACTTTCGATAGACTGGTCAGTTGTAGTGGTTGTTAGGTGCTGGTGAGTCAGCTCTGACTCAGAGTGACCCTATGAACAACAGAACGAAACACTGCCGGTCCTGGGCCATCTTCGCAATCCTTGCTATGCTTGAGCCCATCGTTACAGCTGCTGCGTCAATCCTTCTCATGAAGGGTCTTCCCCTTTTTCACTGACCCTCCACTTTACCAATCACTTTACTGTGTTTCTCCAGGGACTGTTCCCTTCTGACAACATGACCAAAGTAGATGAAAGGAAGTCTGGCCATTCTCACTTCCAAGGAGCATTCTGGTTGTGCTTCATCCAGGATAGATTTGTTTGTTCTTCTCATAGTCCATTGTCTTTTCAGTAGTCTTCACCAACACCACAATTCAAAGGCATCAACTTTTCTTCAGTCTTCCTTACTCATTGTCCAGCTCTCACATGCATATTGAAAATACCATGGCTTGGGTCAGGTGCACCTTAATCTTCAAAGTGACATCTTTGCTTCTTAACACTTTAAAGAGGTGTTTTGTAGCATGTTGCCCAGTGCAATACGATGTTTGATTTTCTGACTACTGCTTCCATGGGTGTTGATTGTGGAGCCAAGTAAAATGAAATCCCTGATAACTTCAATCTTTTTGCTGTTTATCATAATGTTGCTCATTGGTCCAGTTATGAGGATTTTAATTTTCTTGGTGGTGAGGTGTAATCCATACTGAAGACTATAGTCTTTGATCTTCATCAGTAAGTGCTTCAAATCATCTTCACTTTCACTGAGCAAGGTTGTGTCATCTGCTTATTGCAGGTTGTAAATGGTTCTTCCTCCAATCCTGATGCCGTGTTCTTCTTCATATAGTCCAGCTTCTAAAATTATTTGCTCAGCATAAAGATTGAATAAGTATGGGGAAAGGATACAACCCTGATAATACACGCTTCCTTATTATAACCATGCAGTATCCCTTATTCTGTTTAAACAACAACCTCTTGGTCTATGTAGAGGTTCCTCATGAGAACAATTAAGTGTTCTGGAATTCTCATTCTTCACATTGTTATCCATAATTTGTTATGATCCACAGCCTTTATATAGCCTTTCATAGTCAGTAAAACACTGGTAAACATCTTTCTGTTATTCTTTGCTTTCAGCTAAAAATCCATCTGACATCAGTAATGATATCCCTCATTCCATGTCCTCTTCTGAATCCAGCTTTCATTTCTGGAAGTTCCTTGTCAATATACTGTTGAAACCATTTTTAAATTATCTTCAACAAGATTTTACTTGCATGTGATATTAATGATATTGTTTAATAATGTCCACATTCTGTTGGATCCCCTTTCTTTGGAATGGGCACAAATATCGATCTCTTCCAGTCAGTTGGCCAGATAGCCGTCTTCCATATTTCTTGGCATAGATGAGTAAGCACCTCCAGTGCTGCATGAGTGTGCTGAAACACTGAAATGGGTAGTCTATCAATTCCTGGAGCTTTGTTTTTTACCAGTTCCTTCTGTGCAGTTTGAACTTCTTCCTTCAGTACCATTGGTTCTTGATCATATGCTACCTCCTGAAATAGTTGAACATCAGCCAGTTCTTTTTGGCACAGTGACTTTGTGTATTCCTTCTATTTTCTTTTGATGCTTCCTGCATCATTCAATATTTTGCCCCCAAAATCCTTCAATATTATAACTCGAGGCTTGATCTTCTTCAGTTCTTTCTGTTTGAGAAATGCTGACTGTGTTCTTCCCTTTTGGTTTTCTAATTTCAGGTCTTTGCACATTTCATTATTTTACTTTGTTTTCCCAACCCCCCCTTTGAAATCTTCAGTTCTTTTATATCAGCATTTCTTCCATTCACCTTAGCTACTCTACATTTAAGAATAAGTTTCAGAGTCTCTTCTGACATCCATTTTGGTATTTTCTTTCCTATCTTTTTTTTTTATGTATATATGGAGAAATTTATCTTAGGAAAATGGCTCACACACTTATAGAAGCTGGCAAGTCCAAAGTTCCTGGATCAAGCATCAAGCTGGAGGCTGTTCCCAACTCTTGCAGCTGCAGGGGCTGAGGAGCTCAAGGCTGGCAGGCAGCACACCGGCTGTTGACTCCAATGAATGATGAATCCAAGATCTCCAGGCCGAATGGTGGATTGTTCACTCACGGACAGTTGTAGGCAGCACAACAGAATCTCAATCCACAGAAGAATGTCTTCTCTCCGAGGATGTCCACAGATATATATAATATATATATCGGAAGCAGGCCACACCTCTAGGGAAACTTCCTTTCAACAGATTGGCCACTCAAAACATAATTATCTGATCCCATCATGGGAACAACCACACCACAACAGCTCAAACCACACAGAATTGTGGTCCAGCCAAGTTGACACACAGCTCC